AAAAAAAAAAAAAAAAGAATAAAATATTTAGGAATAAACTTGACCAAAGAGGTAAAAGACATGTACACTGAAAACTGTAGAATATTGCTGAAAGAACTTAAAAAAGACATAAATGGAAAGACATCTTCTATTCATAGACTGAAAGACTTCGTATTGTTAAGATTAATACTACCCAAAATGGTCTACAGGCTCAATACAATATCACAATCCCAAAAATGTTTTCTGCAGAAATAGAAATATCCATCCTAAAATTCATATGGAATTTAAAGAGACCCAGAACAAAGTTGAGGGTCTCATTCTTCCTGATTTCAACTTGCTACATAGCTACAGTCATCAAAACTGTGGTACTGACATGAAGACAGGCATATAGACCAATGGAAGAGAATAGGGGGGTGAGAAATAAACCCTTGCATATATAGTGAGATGATTTTCAACAACAAAAAAATGGTATTGTACCAAGATCATTCAATGAGGAAAAGATAGTCTTTTCAACAGATGCTGGGAAAACTGGATGAACACCTGCAAAAGAATGAAGCTGGACCCTTACCTCACACCATAGTTTTTAAAAACTTCAAACTCTAAGTGTAGCAACTAAATTATAAAACTCATATAAGAAATGAGGCAAAAAGTTTTCTGACAATGATTTCTTGGATATAACACCGAAAGAACAGGCAACAATGAGAAAAAGATAAATTGGATTTCACCAAAATTAACAACTTGTATATCAAAGGACACTCACAGAATGGGAGAAAATATTTGCAAATGATATTATCTGATAAGAGATTACTATCCAGCATATACAAAGAAGCTCTATAACACAACAGCAACAGCAAACAAACAGCCAGTGAAAAAGAATGGGCAAAGGACTTGAATCGACATGTCCTCGAAGAGGATATACAGATAGCCAATAAGCACATGAGAAGATGCTCAACATCACTCATGATTAGGGAAATTCAAATAAAAACCATGAGATGCCACTTCACTCCATGAAGATAACTACCATTAAAAAAAAAAAGAAAACCCAACAACCACAAAAACCAGGCTGGGTGCGGTGGCTCACATCTGTAATCCCAGCACTTTGGGAGGCTGAGGTGGGTGAATCACTTGGGGTCAGGAGTTTGAGAACAGCCTGGCCAACATGGTGACCCATCTCTACCAAAAATACAAAAATTAGCCAAGCATGGTGACACGTGCCTGTCATCCCAGCTACTTGGGAGGCAGAGGCAGGAGGACCCTGGAACCCGAGAGGCAGAGGTTGCAGTGGTAAAATTAGATCCCTTGTGCACTGCTGGTGGAAATGTAAAATTGTACAGCCACCATGAAAACAGCATTGTTGTTCCTCAAAAAGTTGAAGATAGAATTGTCCTATCATCCAGCAATTCCACTTCTGGGTCTGTAGCAATAAACACCCAAAGGCAGGGACTGAAACAGACATTTGCTCACCCACGTTCATAGCAGCATTCTTCACAACAGCTAAAAGGTGAAAACAACCCAAGTGTCCATTGATGGAAGAACGGATAAACCAAATGTGGACTATACATACGATGGAATATAATTTGGTATTAAGAAGGAATGCAGTTCTGACACATGCCACAACGTGGATGAACCGCGAGGACATTCTACCAGTCACAAAGGACAATCCTGTATGATTCCTCTCATGTGAGGTACCCAGAGCAGTCAAATTCATAGACAGTAGAATGGTGGCAGCCAGGGGCTGAAGAAAGGGGTGGGGAGTGGGAGTTAGTGTTTAATGAGCACAGAGTTTCAGTTTGGGAAGATTATCTGGAGACAGATGATGGTGATGGTCGCACAGCCACGAGGCTGCACTTAATGCCACTGAGCTGTGTGCTTTAGAAAGGTTACAGTGGTGTTATGCATGAAATATGTTACAGATATTTTACCACAATAAAAAATGAAACATTTGATGTACTTATTGACATGCAAATATACTCATGAATATGTTAAAGGAAAGGATACAAACTGTTAAGATTATACAAATGGTTTTTAAAGACTGTGTGTGTGTATATATATGTGCAATTATCCATTCAAAAGGAATGGAAGGGTGTTCAGAAGTTTTCATAGTGGTCACATTGGATTACTAGGGTGATTTTGGCTGATTTCATCATATTTTATCATTTTTGCACAGAGAACATCAATTTTTATAATACATATGTCGTGTCTTAAATGTAAATTGAAAGAAATGTTCAGGGTCTGCTTGCATGCAGGCCACAGCATCCAAGGAGGTGTAAAAGGAGCTTACTCGTGGAAGTGGACATGAATTGCTTTATCTAATCCTCACAAAAACAGCCCTGCAGAGTCGGTATTCTCATTTTCACTTTATAGATGTAGAAATAAAGGAAAAGTAACTTGCCCACGTGTGGTCTGCCAAGCAGCTTCTCCCAGTGAGAAAACCTGGAGTGAAACTTGCAGGCTCAGGACGGGCCTGTCCTGTGCTTTCTCCCAGCCATGGGCATCTGAGTCCCTGCGTCCCTGTGTCTGGTCCCGTACTGAGAAGTTGGGAAAAGACTTTAGGAACATTTTGGCTCAGGACATTGGATTTTGACTCGTTTTCCATCGACCAAATCTGTCACTTGTTTATGTTTTGGGGGAATTTCATCATCATGGTGTCTAGGCATAAGGGAGAAAGGAATTTCAAAATTGGGATTGACAAGGCACTGGCGATTAAAAGAAACCTAAAAGGAATAAAGATTAAAAGAATTTAGGTAACATTAAGACAGAGGCATAAGAGGTGAAAACGCCCCCAGCCTCTCCCCACTTAAGAGCTCCGCTGTGTGGGGCACCTTCCTTGCGACCTCCTAGGCTGCCTCTTTTCACTCTCACTTGCCCCTTGTTGTCACTCACCCACGTCACACTGGAAGAGGGATCGAAGATTCTGGAAAAAACAGCGAGGGGGTTATGGACTTCTCTGAGATTTGACACTCCTGGCCTGTTGGAGCTGGGGATAAAATGACCCAAAAGCCCATCTCTGCATGGTGAAAAAGATTTTTTTTTTCAATTTCTGAGATATGGAATAGATGTTGTTACATTCAGAGCTATTCAGATGTGCTTGAGAAATAATACCTGATTTCCAGCGCTTCAGAGTCAACTAAGAATGTATGTAACGTAAAATGTGGGTTAAACCTGTGTCCTGGGGATCGTCTTATATGACTTTTTACTTCAAAATGGCACAAAGGTAGGCAGAACAACTAAAAGCCCAGGTGACACTGAAACGGAAAGGCTGAACTTTTAAAAGGTAAAGTATCTCATTTAGGCTCAAATAATTAATTGTATACGAACAAAATGGGGAAAAGTTGGAAATTCTAGGCAGCCACAAATTCAGCGTGCACTGGCGTGTAGCTTGGCTGCTGGTGCTGTGGTCAGCTCCATTCACACAGTGGGGCACAGTGTCTGCATGAAGGGAGGGTAGCCCCCACTCTCCTCTGTTCTCAGTAGCACACATCCAGCTCTTGTGGGCACTCCTAGCAGTGGACATGGGAATCTGGATTGTGTCCAGAAGGGAGCTGTGGAAACCTCGTCATCTGAGGTATGACAGGAAACTATAGATGTTGACTGTGCAGTGGCCCAGGGCGCACACCAGCTGTCTTCATAAGTTTCCAGCCCGTCCTGCAGAAGAGAGTTGACACTTCCTGCATCACTGCGGAGGGCTGAGCGGGTGCACATGTTGAATCTTGAGGAGACAGATTGGGGGTCAGAGTGACCATTCCAGGCACTGGCACTATGCCAGCATCTTCAGAAGGCTCCATGGAGAAGCCAGGTAGGCATCAGGAGGGACTCTTCTTGCCAGAGAGTGAGTTTGGAGGAGGTGGCATCCAACACTGAGATTCTGGCTGGTGCCTTGGACTAAGGGGAAGGTGTCAGGGCCACGCCTCTCCAACACATCTGTGGGGCTCCTTTGGGTGGGTGGAGGGGTGTATTAGGTCGTTCTTGCATCACTATAAAGAAATACCTCAGACTGGGTAATTTATAAAGAAAACAGGTTTAATTGGCTCACGGTTCTGCAGCCTTTACAGGAAGCATGGTGCTGGCATCCACCTGGCTTCTGTAGAAGCCTCAGGAAGCTTCCAGTCATGTCAGAAGGCAAAGGGAGAGCAGGCACTTCCCAGGGCAAAAGCAGAAGCAAGCACCAGAGTTCGAGAGTAGTGGGAGTTGCCACACATTTTCAAGAGATCAGATCTCATGTCAACTCAGAATAAGGGCTCACCTATCACCAAGGGGATGGCCCAAGCCATTCATGACGGCCCCTTCATGAGCCCCCCCCCATGATCCAAACACCTCCCACCAGATCCCACCTCCAACATTAGGAATTACATTTCAACATGAGATTTGGAAGGGACAAATATCCAAACTATAACAGGTAGTTTCTAGTGGGGAACATTCAAGAAAAGGTGGGTTGGGAAGCACTTGCTGCAAAGTCATGCAAAACAAGAGTGAGGGCTTCTCCCTACTCCTGTTCTTCACTG